TATGATTTGTAGAGTGAGAATGTATCAAACTATAATTTATTCCAAAAATAAGAAACATAATAAAATCAAAAGAATTCAAACTTAACTTAAAAAATTTATTAAAAGCAATGAAAATAACGCGAGAAGTCATAGAATTTTCTTAGCACAAAGTAAAATATGGTGTATTAAAATACAGTGATCAAATTCCCCCACACTTAAACTGTTGCACTCCGAGCAAACTCTACATTCAAAATAGAATAAAAATAATATAAAAATAGAACATGAAATTTCAAAGACTTCCAGGATCACAAGGGATAAGCAAAAATATCATTCTAAGCTTAAAGGAATATGAGGTTAGTGAGTAACTTTTTGTGACAATCAAAACTAATAAAATGACAATTTACCAAAGAATACATCAGAAGTGACAAGATCCTCACATGATATAAATATTCTCCCACTCTTAAGTGTTTAGGTTATTTGTTTACACTAAAAGCACATCATCAAAAGCTCAAGTTAAATTAAAGTTCAAGATGAGTATAATGAAAATTGGAGATCATAGATTGTTTATCTTCTCATAGTGTGTGAATTGTTTTTATATATTGGATCGAGTAAAGTGGGCTTTTGATGGATTGAGCTTTTTGGCTGGCCCAGAACAAGATTTATGCTGGTTCAATGTGGCATCCTCCTTGTAATTAATCCAGTCTTCATTGGTAACCATCATAAATATTGTTGTCTTTAACTATGAATTTTTATATTGTCGTTTTGTACAAATGATACTCACATATCAAAGTTGGAATACTTAGAATTAGCTATTAAGCTATATAGTTATATTTCTTGATTTTTCTTCAACTGCACAAAATTCACATGGTTGCAAAAACTTCAAGATACACGATCTTGAGAAGATACACCTTCATAGATCTGTAAGCATTCTAAGATCCCGTTTAGCAGAAATATTTACTCGATTCTACCAGGTACACAATCTTGAGCAGATACACCTTCATAGATCTTCAATCATCATCATATCACATTTCCATATCTCATTTTAAAAACCAAATGTTCTTTCATGATTCAATTCAATCAACTATTGATTCGAATCAAACAACACTTAAGATTCTAATCAATTATAAGTATGATCTGAATCACATTTCCAGAACAAGATTCCATATTTTCAAACTTGCGCATGATTCAAATTTAGGTTTTCCATGATCCAAATAATGTTTCTCAAAACCAACTTCTAGGAAACGAAAAAAATTCATTATTTGAATTAAAGATTTGCATGATTCCCTGCTAGAATTTATTAATTCAAGTGACATACATATTGGTTCAAATTAAGCTACGTTGAATTTTAGTCAAAAACCTATTTTATACTTGGAAAAGACATTTTTAGGAGACATGCAACAAAACTTATTACGAGGACTTAATTATTATAGTAAAAACTATAATGACAAACAACAAAACACCCTTAAAAACATTAAGATACCCTAGGAGAAATATTAGTCTCTCCTTTTTTGATGTTTGGCAACTTGCATTCTAATTGAGACAACATGAGCAAAAATCTCTTGAAACATTCCACTATAATTGAATAAAATAGATATAGACTCATTACAATCTCTTCCACTTTCACAAAATTAAAAACAGATTTGGAGTGAAAAGCCTTAAACCTAAATAACTAGCACAAGGGAAAACACACAACAATTCAAAGAAGAAGAAAAAAAATCTAAAACATCTAAAAAAGAACTAGATACACAAAATTTGTAGAATAATAAAATAAAGAAATAATAAACTTCTACACATGTCAAATGCAACATATGCACAAAATGATATGAACACAAACAACAACAAAACACAATTACCAGGAAAAATAACATTGAAGTGTACGTAAATACTACATGATGACAAACTAATACAACAACGAAACATAATTACCAGGATAAATAAGATGGAAGCATGTACGAAAATAAAATATGTGACAAAAAAACAATAATATAATTAATGCTTATTCAAAGCAAGATGACCAAGGATTCCTAAATCTTTTGAAATGGTCTTGCATTTTAAGGCTTTTTAAATATATCATCAAGATGTCTTTTGGTGTCCATATATTCAAAAATCAAATTATCATTTTCAACTTGATCTCTAAGAAAATGGTGTATGATCTTAATATCTTTAGTGTGTGAATATAAAATTAGATTATTTGTGAGACTAATCACACTTAATTGGAAAACATCCAAATTTCAAATTATAATCTATAAGTTATTTCTTTAGCCAAAGGACTCGTATATAACAATTACCAGCGTCTACATACTCGACCTTTGTCGTAGAAAAAGCAATATTGTATTGCTTCTTGTTGTACCAAGAAACCAAACATTTTCCAAATATGTGACAATTACCACTAGTAGTATTCCTATCTGATTTGTACCTCATGGAATCAAAATCAGAGAAGCCTACCAATATATATTCACTTCCTTTGAGAAACCAAAGAATGTTGTTTGAAGTTCCATTAAGACACCTTAAAAAGCATTTATTGGACTTAAAGTGGGATTCCCTAGGTGAAGTTTAATATATATCGCACACACATACACTTAACATAATATCAAAATGCATTACAGTTAAATAAAGAAAATATCCTATAATACCTATGTATATGGTGATCTCGATCTCTAATCCTTGTTTATCCTTACCAATTAGAAGATTTAAAGGCATTGAGGGTAGAGATAAATTTAAATCTTTCATGTTACACATTTTGATTAACTCCAAGTATTACTTTGTTTGGCTAATGAACATGTCTTTATCAGTTTTATTGATTTGTGAGTTTAGAAAATAATTGAGTTCTCCCATTAGGGATATCTCAAATTTACCCTGCATGATGCTTGAAAATTCTCTACACAAAGACTCATTACTAGAAACAGAAATAATATAAAATACATAAATATGATATAAAAAATATGCAGTCTTTTACACATTGTAAACAAAGTCGTATCTACGATTTTGTGATTAAATCCTTTCCCTAGTAAGCAGGCACTAAGACACTCATACCAAGCTCTATAAGCTTATCTGGGATCATAAAAAACCTATTTTAGTTTAAAATCATGCTCAAGATTTTCATGGTCCTCAAAATCGGGAGGTTGAGAAACATATACCTCTTCGTTTATAGAACTATTAAGGAAGGAAGAATTAACGTCCATATGATGCAACTTAAAATTCCGGAAGCATATGAATGCCAAAGGAGTTGAATCGCTTCGATATCGGCTATTGGAGAATATGTCTCATCATAGTTTATCCCTCCTGCTTGAGTATATCTTTTTTGCCACTAGTCGTGCTTTATTTCTTGCAATTAAACCATTCTCATCAAGTTTGTTCCAAAAAACCACCTAGCACCTATGATAGTTTTATTTTAAGGATATGGAACACAATTCCATTCGTTGTTTCTTTTAAATTGTTTGATATATTCTTGCATAAAAATGAGCCATTCTTTGCCAGTCAAGTCATCATTCGTATTTTTTTATTTAATCTATGAAATGAATTTCGAATTTTTAAAAAATTATTAATCTGAGAACATGTGCTTACACCCTTTTTGATGTCTTAAATAACAATGTCCAACACATGGTCTTTCACAACAATCCAATCTCTAGGAAACTTGTTTGAGGTAGCTTTTTTGTCATCCTTTTGTTCACTTTCTTCTTTATCATATTTAATGTCCTCACTTTTAGGAGGATCCACTTCTGGATCGTCATCTTTGCCTAAGTCTTTTGTGATTATTTCTAAAATATTAAAACTAGAAGAAAGACCTTTCTCTATCTCTTGGGGTTCGATCGATGTACTCCTGTAAGGTCTCATTTTTCTTCAACTGAGTTCTAGATTGAATTGGGCTGCAAAAGAGTTGCAAAGTTATCTTCAGGAGTTTATGCTTCTAGATGAGAGGTATAAGGTCTGATTTTCCTTCATCTGATCGTTTATTTTGGCAACTATTGTGGATCATCGTCCAATTAAATCTAACGACAGAGAGTTAATAGAAGGTCATAATTATGTACCCCTAGCTTGAGTGAGATTATACCTATGTTTTTTACTGTCTTTCGTAATGCTTGCTTATTAGGTCTTGACCTATAGACTTAGGAGGAGGCCCAAAACACAATATATATAACCATCATATTTGACTCTTTACACACCGACACTAACTAATATAAATATGTTAATTTTTTTTTTAAATAGAGAAAACATCAATTCGATAAATTGAAGATTTTTTATTTATTTATTTTAAATTTACCATATAAAACATTTCGAATTAAATTAAATGGAAAATAACTTAAAAATCTATCCTTTTTTTTTGTATTACTTGAATTAAAAAAAGAAAAAGTCAACATGTGAAATCCACATGTTCCGGTTATTCACACCTTTGTTTTGTTTACACAAACCAATTTTATTGTTTTAATTTAATGGCCTCTAATTCAAACACCCTCACCACTTTTTGTTTCTTCTTAATTTAAACATCATTTTTGATATTTTAAACCTTCTCAATTCTCTTTATCCAATTCTTTTATCTTCCACCTGATGTTTTCTTTTCACTTTTCTTCTTCTTCATATAATAAATCCCATCTTTCAAAAGCCTCAAATTCACTCTTCCACAAATTTTCTTTTAACAAGGTACGTTTTCTAAACATCAACTTTCTATTATTCTTTCTTGTTGTGCATTCACTCTTCCTTTTTCTTTTTTGGTTGCTTGTTTCAATATTGAATTGAATTTTTTATTGCTTCTTCTAATATTGAAAAGAGGTGTGTAGCATAAATCATTGTGTCATGTGCATTGGTTGCTTTTCTTCTCCTTTTGGAATGTCAAAGGGCATTCTTTTCTACAAGCTTTTCTAGTTTTCTTTCCCCACACCACACCTCATATTTTTATTTTTATTTTTCAGATCTATCATAAATTTAAAATAGAAATCTCTTTTATCTCATTTCACACATTATTTTTTATTTACATGCAGGTACTTTTTCACAAATAAACTATTATCTAAACACAAAAAACACACATGGCAACAAAAACAAAAGATACTAATAATATTGTGAAGAATAAGGACAAGAAATCTTCATCTTCTTCTACTTCTTCTCCAATCTCAACCATAAAAAGAATCTCAAGACCAACATCATCAAGCTATTTAGAGAGTTCCACTTCACAAAACCCATCAGAAAAACAAATCCCAAATTATCTCAAACCAACAATTAGTTCACAACCAAGATCCCAATCCTTTAAACTAAGAAATGATAATGTTCCAAACAAACCTACTCTAAATAGAAGAAGATCTTTTGATAAACCACCATCAGTTTCAAAGTTATCAAAACAAATTCAACATTCTCCTTCAAGACAACAACATAAACCACTTGTTAGAAGCATTCTTCCTTCTTATAAACCAGCTTCGGATAAAACCTCGTCCAAGAATCCAAAACAAAGTGTTACCAAGAAGAGTAATACAAAGAGTGTTGCTACAAAGAGTAGTACTAATGAAGAAACAAAAGAAAAAAACAATGTGGTTGAAAATGAACCAGAACCGGAACCGGAGCCCGAGCCCGAAGTTAAAGAAGCTATAACAAATGAAGAGAATATTGGAGAAGTAGAAAAAGTTGATAATGTTCAAGAACATGACCATGTTGAAAATCTTGTACCTGAACTTAATAATTCTCAGGTGCAAGATATTGTACCTGAGATTAATCAGTCTGAACTATATAATATTGTACCTCAGATTAATGAATCTCAGATACAAGATATTATATATGAGTCTCAGGTACAAGATATTGTACCCGAGTCACAGTCACAAGATATTGTACAAATTGAATCTGATAATGAGAAAGTGAAAGAGGTAATTCCTACGTTGGTGTTAGAAGAAGAAGCAAAGGAAGATCAAATCAAAGATGGACATGAAGAGAGTGAGATTACAAATACAAACGAAGATGAATGCAACATTAATAAGAATTATGAACAAGAAACAAACCATTCAACAAATGAAGAAGAAGTTGTTGAGGTTAAAGAAAAAGAAGAAGAAGATACAAAAAGTGAGGAAGAAGTTGTTGAGGTTAAAGAAAAAGAAGAAGAATCAAGTGAAGTAAAAGAGAAAAATGAAGAAAAAGTGGAGAATGAGGTTGAAGAAGTTATTACCAAAGTGGATTCACCAAAGGAAAAGGAAGAAGAAAGTAGTGTGGTGCAAGGGAAGAAAGAGCCAACCCAAGTTTCCAATGGTGTGATTGAAGAAACTGCAGGCAAGTTATTAGAAGAGAGAAGGAATAAGGTGAGAGCATTGGCTGGTGCATTTCAAACTGTCATTGATCATCAAACCAAATGAAAGGAGAATTTTTTATTTGGTTTCATGTTAGAAAGTGAGAACATAAATATTTGTGTAATTCTTAGTAAAATACATGTATCTTAAGCTTTTGTAATTATATATATGTACAATAATCTTTTCATTTGTTGTTATTATGTTATTGTTTTGTATATATGTTTGGTTTGTTAAAAAGGATAAAAAATAGTGTTGTTATTTAGAGCTAGCTTTGATGCTTCACCATCATTAGGATATTCAAGTGGTCATTATTTCTTAAGTGACCAAAATTCATCCATGGTAACTTGATTTTAAGGAAAGTTCAAGCTTGTGCAAGAGTTTGTTTCTTGTGGTTGCATTGGGCCTCAAAGCCCGTCCATATCACATACAAACCTCCCTGATCCAGTTCCTTGTTTCGTTGGGCCTCCTTCTTGCCTAGCCCAAGCAGAGTGGCTTTGCACCTTGGATCCAGCATATGCACCTGCCTCTCTTATTATTTTATTTTACATTTCTATCTACTTATTTTTTATTTTTTTATTTCTTTTCTAATTTATTTTGCATTCTTAATTTCTTTTAATCTCTTGATTTTGAATCTTTATTTTTTTTCAATTATTTTTCATTTTTGCAATTATTCTATGATGTGCTAAATTGATTTTTAATCATTTTGATTCTATTTTTTTTTTCATTTTCTTTATTGCACTTCATATTTTAAGAGATTAATTCATATTAATTCTCTAACAAGTTTGACACATAAATTTCATTGCCCGACCTTCCGAAGTATGATCTTCATATATGTTGTGTTACGGTTGCTTAACATAGCGCTAGATTGTCTCGATTCGATCAATTGGTCATTTGATCATTAACTACTAATCATTGACTTCTTAACCATTTATATCCTAACTTTTATTTCTTGCACTTTATTTTCTTTCCATTTACTTCTTGCAATTTACTTTTCTTACTCATTTATCATACATTTATTTTATGCACTTTATCTTTATGTAATTTTGTTTTCTTTGATATTTATTTCCTTTATCTTGTTATCTAATCTAAAATGAACAAAAGCATGATAAAATGGAAAAGACTAAAAATACTTAATCTTCTTTTTTGTGAGACGTAGTGGGCCATTGGACTTTGTGTATGACGCAAACTTGACATGGAGTATTATGGACATATTGGACTTTGTGTATGACTTAAACTTGACATGGAGACCATTATGGACCCATATTAGACATTGTGTACGACCTTAGCTTAACATGGAGTGGACTTAGGATCTTAACATCAAGATGGTTACTCATGGAACTACCCTAAGCAAAGGGAGACATGTAACTTTTGATTCCTATTCCATTGCTTAACTCAGGACACTTTACACACACATGGATTTCTCTTGGGCTGCCTTACAATGAGACCTTTTATTTCTAGAATCAATATCCCTTGTATTTTTCATGTATCCCCCCCCCCATTAGTTGTATTTTTCTTCCTTGATTTCCTTTGGTTTGGTATTGCTTGTTAGCTCATCCATAGGAACTAGGATAAACCTTACCTTTATTAAGCAATAATCTAAAATCCTTGATCCAACGTCAAGTGGCATTTTATCAATAAACTCAAAAACACCTTTAAAATATGATTAGAATTGTACGCCACGAGCCTTAAGTGGTGGAGAAGGAGTGGGAATGAAGCATTCATACCTTCATTTTGAATATTTTGAACACAACACGTTTGGCTTGGTTGTTTGAAATATTCGTCTCCACTCATAGACTTCAGTACAATTCGAATAAAAAACAACCTTCTTTTCAAAATCTTAAAATCAACATCAACTCATCAAAATCTTTTTTGCGCCTTAGGGAATCATCTCAAAACCCTTTTTCAAGGTATAGAAACAACCAACATACACTTATTTTCTACCTCGAACTATAAAGCTCTAATTTTCTTATTGTACTATGATGATACGTAGGCACGAGGGTTCTCATCCTTGGAGAGCTCACTAATTTAAAAACCCTTTTTTCACCCCCAATAACAAGTAATATTTAGATAACGACACCCATTGCGCATAGACAATCAAGATGGTTCCCGTTGAGTACAACGGATGTGAAGGGTGCTAATACCTTCCCCTTGCATAACCGACTTTCAAACTCGAGTTTGGCCCCAAGACCGTTTTCTTCACCTTTTAGGGAGTTTTATCGATATTTTCCCTTTCTTTGGAATAAATAAATTTCGATGGTGACTCTGTATTTTTCGCGTTGCGACAGCTGGGGACTTTTTCCCAAAGCAAGTCAAGCCTAGTCTTGGTTGCCTTCTTCACATGTTTAGGTGTTTATATTCATTTGTTGTTTGATTTATTTATTAGCTTTCTTATTTCTTTAAATACTCATATGATATTTGTTATGTGGCTCTCTTATGTTGTGGTATGGAGTGGATACTCTGGTTGCAAACCTTGAGGGAAAGAATCTCCACCCGAGTTTAGAGTGTAAAATGAGATAGGACGAGGTTGAGTAGTGTGGGCTCCGAGAAGCTTTTCTCATAAGGGTCGACACGAGAACCTCACTTAGAGTAGATTCATTTGCTGTCAGCGTCAATGTTTTCATCGGGATCCATGACTCTAAGGACCTTTGTAGAACATTGAACCTTTGGCTAACCAGGACTGATTGTCGCATAGTACGGGTCCCTGAGAAGTTTTTCTCATGTGGGTCAATAAAATATACTTTCTTGATAGAGGTGTTGCCTAGTAAGTAAATTGACATATGCGACAAACAGTCAAGGAAATCCATAACTCTGAGACCCTTGTCTAGAACCCAATGTCGATGGTCACATAGTATGGGTTCCCGAGAAGCTTTTCTCGCATGGGTCGATATGAAGACCTCACCCATAATAGATTCATTTGATGGAGTTGTCAAATGACATGCTTTTGCCATAAGAGAAAAATATTCATGTGAATCTATGACTCTGGAGTTCTTGTTTAAACCCTAGATCCTACCTGGTGAGATCCTTGTATGGAAAGTAATCAGTGTTATCCTCCATCCATGCCTCAGACTCATGAAGCCATATGCTTGGAGTTCTTACATGCATACTATCATACCCCAAATTTGTCCTACCTTTTGCAAAATTTTCATTCGCCCGATTTTATTTTTCAATTTGCATTGCTTGTACAGATTAACGTATTTTTCACTTTTTTGTCCAATAAATTTGTAACACGTGGCGTTTTTTTATTTTGTTATTATTTTATTTTATTATTTTTGCTTTATAATTTAATTTTTATAATATGTAAGTATAATATAGTTTTAATATTTATTAATTGATTAGTTTAGATTAGGATAGAATTAGAATTACTTAATTATAATTAGATATTAAAATTTTAATTAGGAATTGAGTTAATTAATAGATTTTAGATTAGATTAAATTAATTTAGAGATTAAAATAGTTAATTTAGAATTGCTAATATAATTAGAAGTATAAAATGGGTTTGTTAATTTAATTTATTGTTCAAAAAAATTAAAAGAAAAATAAAAAAGAATTAAAAGAAGAGAACACGGTTAGACATTGGCAATTAGGGTTTCCAAATTTGGGGTTATATAAGATTAGATTACTGTTCATCTCTCTGACCGCGAAAAAACCCGTGAAAGAGGAAAGAGAGATATTCTGCTTCATTTTCGTTCTCTACCAGAGCCGCCAAACCCTACCTTTCATCTCTTCACTGCCTCTCCTATCTCAACATCACCACCGCCGTTCCCACAACTAAGTCTCCTCCATTCGAAAACCTCTGTCCACCTTCTTCATCCTAATCATCATCACATTCACCTCACTTATCCTTCTTCTTCTTGCAACAATCTGACTCATTGCTCATATATCTTTCACACTCTGTTATACAAATTCCGTTTTGCAGACCAGGTCCTTTTATGCACACAACGTGTTGGACAAAACGCCCTCGAATAAAATCGATACATGGAACTATGTCGTAATCTCCCGTGTTCAAAACAACTTTGATCTGCAACAACATTCACTGGTGATAAATCTTCTTTCAAGAAAAAACTCACGGTGAGCTTTCGTGATTCACCATTTCGATGTACAACACGGTCGCATCTCACAACGAGCTTCAAGTAACCAAATCGTTTTTTTTTCTCCGTAAATTCAACAGCAGTTAGCCTGATTCTGCAGTTCGGTTTGGTAACATTTTTAACTTCTCATTTCTCTTGCTTTCTGCATAATATGTGAGTTTAGTTTGTGTTAATAGATTAACATGACAGTTATAATATGAGTATGAGTTAAACATCATAATTTGCATGTCGGTAATCCTCGATCTCGAACTTTGTTTTTTTAGGCCAACTCTGCCGTACTTCCTGTGTCATGATTCAGTAATCTAATTGTTATATAGAATTGCTGGCTTGGTCTAGTTTATGTTTATATCATGTAATCGATTTGAGTTGATTTCAGTTATATTAAGAGTTATTGTTGTTTTGTTGTTGGACCTGTGTATCCAGTTTAAATAAGATGTTGATTTTATTATGTTTTGCTCACATTGGATTAAAATGTCGGCGGTGAATGCATACAGTTGTTGTTGCTGTTTTGTATTATATTGATAGATTATGCAGGATTCTCTTTCGATTCACATTGACATGCAAAATCGAAAACATCTATGGGTTTTTTCTGTGTGTGTAATTTTGTTGTGATATGTTTGATTTTGCATATGGCGTAGTGATGGTAAATGAATCTGATAATTTGTTTTGCTATGATGATACTTGCTCGATTTCGATTTAATCGTATCTCGTGCCTACTGCAGTATACCTTTCGAGACTGTATCTGTTTTGATTGATTTGTAAATACTAACTGGTTTAAGTGACTGTTGTTGTTTATCCAATGTCGGTTCGGCTATGGTTGTATAATATTTAGTACTCGGGTTTGAATTTCGATTTCAATTGAATTTAGATCTGTCCTGCTATTATTTGCCTGGGTAAACTATTTATGTTTAGTTTTCATATGGTTTTCATGCTTTCATATATGACTGTGACGTCGAACTACGTGAAGTGAGAAAGTCA